CCAGGTATTGACGATTTTAGTACTGACGGATTTTTAGTTATTTTTGTGTAAAAAGGATTTACGGAAAGAGTTTTTTATAGATTTTACAAAGACAATTTTTTTTATACAAATAATTTAATTAAATGATAAGAAATGGGTACATGTTCTATTGGGACTCTATATTAACTATATCATATTAACTAAATATAAAAATAATCTGAATTTCTTTTAAATACACAGGTCAAATTTCTTTCTCTTTCAAAGCTTTATAAAAACTAGTTATCTTTTACACATTACGATTACAAAGTTATGAAGCCTTTTTTTATAAATAATTATAAATATTGATTTTAAATCTATTATTTGAATTTACTCTAGTTTCTCAATATAAAATTTTAAATTTTAAAGTATTTTTATATTTAATTATAAAAAATAGCTTCATAACTTTTCTCATAGTTACTAAATATTAATTATTATGAAATATTACTTTTAATTATAATAAAGTTGAAGCTGGGCATCGATTTTTATTGTATGCTTAGCAACAGATATATATAAATCATAAAATTGTGTATATTTATTACCATTACTATGATGCTTTGATCTTATATAATACAATATATAGTTTAGTTGATGTAGCATCCCAATGTTTTATTCTGTTCAATTCTGTACATATATATTCAGGTTTGGAAACATTTTATATGAATGTATAATATTATATATATACTGAAGATTTTATATATCTGATATCATTTAAATTTAACATATTTATAAAAAAAAAAGCCTAATTTCACTATGAAAAATTTCACAATTCAAATATTTTTAATGAAAAAAGATATATTTAATAAAAACAAATTTTGTAATTTTCATTTCACAGCTTGATTTTTAGCAAAGTATGTATCTGAATTTAGAAAATCAATTTTAATATCATCCAAATTATCTTGTTCTTCTTCAAATTTCTCTTTAATTAATAACTCTTTTCATTCATTAATAACAGTATTCCAATCAGTTTCTAAAGAAATATCTTCATTTTTATCATCATCAACATCAGTTTCTTCAGAAGTTGAAAAGACAACAAAAATGAGATTAATAGAAGAAGAAGGATGTTGTGATTGAGTATGAAGTAAGTTTGATTTTTTTTTATAAATTTGCAAAATTTCTGCATGAAGCTAACTCATTGTGATTACTTTATCAGACTATTTATAAAAAAATATATATATTAAAATAAAAAAAGAAATTTATAATAAATAAAAACTCCCTCACTGATCATCTAAACACAAAATTAACCAAAAAGAAAAACTGATTTTACGCAAAAGTAGCCTTCTAAACTACTTTGACAGAACTAAGTAAAAAGAAAGAGCATCCAAGAAAGGTATATAAAAAGAGAAGAAATAGACAAACACAAGGGATACAGTATAGAAAAGCAAAGAAAACTAAAATTTCTTGAAAAAAATGCTCAAAAATTTGGAAATTGTAATATTTTCAGGAATTGGCACTAACCTGGTATCACAGATCTGTTTTGGTTACAAGAACATAAACAAACAAGCAATTCAACCACATATAGAATAAGCAAAACAAACACATGCTTAATATAGATAGAAATAAAGATATAACCAAAAGATGTAACAGCAGTCTAATAACAACATATATCAATAGAGTATACTGGGCTATCAATAGTGTGCAAAATGGTGTGTTTATTAAACAAGCAGGTGAAACATATATATTGACTAGCAGAGAAGACAAAATTGTTGTTATGTTAACAAATCAGAATTCAGATGAAGTTGCTCTATTAAAATTAACAAGAGAATTAATAGATAAAGCAGAGAAAGAGCAACCAGAAAGAAAATTAAGATAGTAGAGCAAAGCAACTATGCAATAATACTAGAACCCATTCCAGAACAAGGTCAAGACAGACCTAAGAAGAAATGTAACCAAACTGCAAGAATGGAAAAGCCACAAAAGATAGAACAAGACCAAACATCAAAGGAGGAACCAAAAGAAAGAAAAAATCATGAAGCAAGGGTCCAAGAAACCAACAAGATATTGCAGAAAGAAAAGGCAGCAAAGGTAAGTACTAATAACAACAGCAAGATGGAAGTAGAACAAATTCAACAAAAACAAGAGAATTTGCCTAGCCAAAAAAGAAATGCAAAAAAACAAAAAGAGGATCAAGAACAAGAAGTTGTTGAACTAGACTTTGAAAGAGAAATTGATATAGTAGAAGAGCCTTTTGAAAAAAGCATATGAGCCCCAAGCAAGAGAAATTGTAACCAGAACAATAGTCTACTTGTGAATATACCAGCACAATATGCTAGAAAAAACAAAAGAAGAATGTATGAAGTTTATTAGATAGTCTCTAAGAAATAATATATATATCAAAGATGTAAAAGAAACCTTCAAAAGAGGAAATCTATGGGTAGAAGTTGACTTTGACTGTGAGTATGGCAGAAATGATGCTATACAGAGAATCAGCAAAAAGAAGAGTAACTGGTATAGAATGATACCAAAGGAAAAAAAAAAACACTATAAAGAGACAGACACAATATGTGGAAAAAAGTCAAAAGAGAAACAACAGCAAATCGAGAATCAAAGAAGAAGAAGTCAAAAGAAAAGAAAATAAAAGCAAGACAAATGAAAACTAACACGAAGCAAATAAAGAATTAGAGAACACAAGTTATATAACAATATGGGACCTACCTGCAGATATAAACGAAAGAAAACTAGAATACATCTGTAAAAGATTTAGGAAGGCCCATATAGTAAAAATTAAGAAATCCAAGTATAAAACCTTAGCTGTGATCAATATTAAGAGAACATATGAAGACATTCCATGGGCACTACCAATAAATAATAATAAACTGGTTCGAGTAACCAAGGGAATAGAAGACTATAAAGCTAAAGAAGGACAAAAGAAATATGCAACAAAACTGACAGAATTACTAGGAAGTGTCTCAGAAGTCTTACTACTATGAAGCCTGAGAAACAAAGGTGCCAAATCAGTTTACATCCTACCAAATAGAAATGGGAACCAAAAAAGATCAGCAATAGTCATGTTTGTGACAGAAAGAGACATGAGAGCTGCCCAAACAAAGCCGATTATGTATAATAACTTTTGAGTCTACTGGATAAATGAAGAAAAAAGAGAAACAAGAAAAAGAGAAAGTTGTGAAGTAGAAAGAAGAAGAAGCTGGGACAGATACAGTCAGACCTCATATACAGAAGAAAATAGAAGCAGCAAAGGAAAACAAAGGAACAGAACCTATACAAAAAAGTATAGAAATAGAAATAGTGCAAGCCAGAAGGATTTCGTGTTAAATGAAAGAAGCAGATCTCAAAGCCGAAATACAGAAAACCAAATAAAAAATGCAAAAATGAAGAAAGAAGAAATAGAAGATCATGAAGAAAGACCAAAAAAATTTAAGATACATAAACAAGAAGGAGAACCATGTATAGAGAACTTTTTGGAGCAAATTTGAAAGAGATTAGAAAGACTAGAAGAGACAAAAAAGATAGCTAGAGAGAGCCTAGCTAATCACTCCTGAGGGCACCTTAGTTGAACTTATGAACAGGGATGAGAAGATCGAAGATTTTCTGCATGGTGAAAGAGGATCTTTGAAGAAAGAAATAAAGAGAAATCTCCTAATCCAAAAGAAATAAAGAGAAGAAAAGAGAAAGAAAAAACAGAAAATACAGAAACAAGATATAAGCAGTTAAAAGAGAAATGAAAAAAAGGAAAAAAAGAGATAAAAATTACATGCCACAATATTAACAGACTCAAGACCAGAGATTGAAAACTAAAAAACCTGCTAGGCTGGTCAGAGGAAGAAGAAATAGCATTTTTAGGAACGACGGAAACAAACATTACAGAAAAAGAAATAAAAATCTTAGTGCATAACCTTAACACAAGATTTAAAGTCTACTGGACAAGTGCAGCATCAGACAAGAAAAAAGGATCAGGTGTTGGAATTTTAATAGATGAGACATGGGAAAAACATGTCGGAACAGTTAAAAGACCTAGTAAGTACATGATAGAAGTAAAGCTATACTTCAAACAACTAGTATTGATAATGATAGAGGTGTATATTCCACCAAATGACAAGGCAACCAATAAGAAAATACAGCAAAAAATTGTGAAAATAGTAACAAACAAGAAGAAGCATACAGAAGTAATTATATTAGGAGATTTTAATACACAGTTGACAACATACTAGATAGATTGCATTCACAAACAACAGTATATAAAAAACTGTCAGTTTTTAATTGGCTTAAGAGACAGGATTTTACAGACTCTTTTAGAAGCTTGCATCTAACAGAGAGAGCATATACATGGTCAAACCAAAAAGCAGCAACAAAAATTAACTATATTTGGTTGTCAGAAACTATGATGGCTGGCCTTCTAAAAGCCAACATAGAGGAAGCAGAAGGAATAACAGACAGTAAGCACAGAATATTAATGATAGTCATATAGTTGGAACATGTGATTGCAAACCAGAGTTGTGCAGAAATCAAATGCAAGGACCAAATGAGAACAATATATTTGTATGAGGAGGCAAAGCAAGAAGATTGAGAAGAATATGCTAAAGAGCTTCAAGTACAATTAGAATGGAAAAAGATCCTGAAGCAACTAAAGAAAGACAGAGAAGTTAATATACACAGTACAGATATGTTAGACCATATATGGAATGCAATAGAAGAAGCTATAATAGAAGCAACAAATAAGCAAATTCCAAAAAAGAAGATATTCAACACAAAAGTAAACAGAAAAAAGCATCAGAAGAAGTTATAGCAGAATAGAAACATAATCAAACTTCAACAAATAATCAAAAAGGTGAAGACAAGAAAAAACCAAAAGATAGAAAAAGAAGAAAAAGAAGAGATAAATAACAAACTCAAAAACATTGGCAAGGAAATAGGAGT